AGCAGTCTGGAGCAGCACTGGCAGCCACAGCAAGTTCCTGGTACGGGAGTTCTGGTTTGCACTGACTGCTGCTTTGTTGTTACAGGTGCAAGTCCAGGTCCAGCAGTCGCCACAGCAGGTCTCCGCCCAGCAGCTCTCACCCCAGCTCACCGTTCACCAGGCCTCTGAGCAGCCAATCCAGGTGCAGGTGCAGATCCAGGGCCAGGCTCAGCAGCAGGCATCACAAACCATCCAGAGTCAAGCTCTGCAGAGCCCGAGCCCCTCACAGCTGCAGGCGGCTCAAATCCAGGTGCAGCACGTGCAGACGGCCCAGCAGATCCAGGCTGCTGAGATCCAGGAGGAGCACATACAGCACCAGCAGATCCAGGCCCAGCTGGTGGCAGGACAAGCTATTGCAGGGGGCCAACAGATCCAGATCCAGACCGTGGGGGCACTGTCACCTCCACCCTCCCAGCAGGGTTCCCCACGGGAGGGGGAGCGCCGCATCAGCACCGCCAGCGTCTTGCAGCCTGTGAAGAAGCGCAAAGTGGATATGCCCATTACGGTATCATATGCAATTTCGGGGCAGCCTGTTGCCACAGTGCTGGCCATTCCCCAGGGCCAGCAGCAGAGCTATGTGTCTTTGAGGCCGGATTTGTTAACAGTGGACAGTGCCCACCTCTACAGTGCCACTGGGACCATTACTAGCCCCACTGGAGAGACTTGGACCATCCCTGTTTATTCTGCTCAGCCACGCGGTGACCTCCAGCAGCAAAACATAACCCACATTGCCATCCCCCAGGAGGCCTACAATGCCGTCCATGTCAGTGGCTCGCCAACAACGCTGGCTGCTGTGAAGCTGGAGGACGACAAAGAGAAGATGGTGGGGAGCACGTCTGTTGTGAAGAACTCGCATGAGGAAGTGGTGCAGACACTTGCCAATTCGCTCTTCCCAGCACAATTCATGAATGGCAACATCCACATTCCTGTGGCCGTGCAGGCCGTGGCAGGAACATACCAGAACACGGCGCAGACAGTGCACATATGGGACCCGCAGCAGCAGCAGCAGCAACCCACACCCCAGGAGCAGGGGCAGCAGCAGCAGCAGTTGCAAGTGACTTGTTCGGTAAGTGTGACCGTCTCTGCATATCTGCCCTTGACTTATGATTCTGTGATCCTGTGATTTAAGGACATGAATGTGTTTGGGAGGGGGCAGTGCCATCTGTCAGAAGGCATCCTTGGCAGCACAGGATACCCATGTTTTTGCAGCCCAATAATCTGGGCATGGCAGCCTGCATTGGTTCTTCCATGTACGTCACATTCCTGTCAGTTTGGACCAGGTCCCAAGTGATGGGGGTGGATCTGTTGGGCTTGCCTTTGTAGTGGCATGAAGCACCAGCTCAGAGTCCTGAGACCACTTCTGTTCTGAGTTAGTGCGCTGGATGGTTGTAAGGGCTGCACTGGCAGGCAACAGCCCTCCAGAATGGAAGTCCTGAAGTGCAGCAGACATTACCCGCCTTGCAAGTCACTGTAAATCACTTGGCCCTGGGAGCACCGCTAGATGCTTGGCAGGTTAAAAGTGCTTCAGAGCTGAGGGTTTGACAACTGATTGACTGGAACAAGCCTCACTGCTGTGTACGGCAGGCCCCGTTTCCAGTAAATGTGAGCTGGAGAAGATGAGATGTCACAGAAGTGAACCCTGGAAACTGAACAGCATCTTTTTAGCAGCGTGGTGTATATCATGGCCAAATGCATTGCTGTATTAAAGGCCATATTTGGAGTTGGTGGCCAAAACCCGTTACATGTCTCAATGCCACCTTTCTTTGGTGGGAAACAATCAAGACCCAAGAAAACCAAGCAAAACCCCTCAAATCCTGTGGAATACAACAGATGACTGCCTTGCTAGGATTCCACCCTCCTGGTATCCCCTTCACATGTGCATGTGTGCATTACTGTCTTGGTACTGAGATGAGACGATGAAAAGTAATTACTCTTGTCATAGCCGTACCCAACTATTATGTGAAAATGGCCCTAGCCAACCAACATAAATGTTAGACCAAACAGGGGGTACTCTATAACAGAGGAGGGTAATTAAAAAAGCAGAGGGTCGCTTCTGGCCCTGCAGGGCCAAGGGATGGCAGGTGCACCTTCCTCTTGTATAGGGCCAAGGCATCAGCTGGGCAGCCTGCCAGCTTCCTAAGATGATGCTGGCCCTGCTGGGCTTCATGGGAGTGTGGTTGCTGCTTCTGCCCAGTGGTTCACCAGCCATGTTTAGATTGGAAGGGCCCAGCGTAATCCTTGGGGCTGGAGGGCAGCCCATTAGTTTCAGGCAGAGGGATCAGACTGCTCTGCCTAAGCCCTGGCCTTGTTGGATTGTCCCTGGATCCACTGTAGCTATCATGTAGCGGGGCTGTCCAGCTTCAGAGTCTGCAGACCCCACAGGCTGCACCAGTGGGGGCTGCACTAGTGAGCCACATCTCCCCTCCCTTAGCTCCCTGGCTGCAGGCTGCGCAATGCCTTGCCACCCACTAGAACGGGGGGCAGGAAATAGAAGCTGGTGGAGGAAGAGGGAGCCAGGAGAACCCACTGCAGTGGGTGGGAGCCCATGGTCTGCAAATTAACCTCTTGCAGGCTGCGTGTGGCCTGTGATGTCAGTTGGACAGCCATGTCCTGTAGGGTCCTTCCTGAGGAAGGGTGCAAGTCCTGCCTTGCCAGCCTCCCTCAGGCAGTGTACTGCTGTGGGAGTGCTGAGGGGCTTGCTGTGGTGTGGAGTAAGCTCCCTGGGTCTTCCAGAGACCTGCTTTGTGCCTGTGACTGTGCCGTTCTGCCCTGGTGCCTGGCCTCAGCATCCCCCTTGCCACTGCTGCCTAGGCAAGGTGCATTGTGTGCCAGGAGGGTGGAATCCTAGCAAGGCAGTCATTTGCTGCATTGACTCCAGCCTGTTTGTCTGCCCTAGGCCTAGCAGAGAGTGGCTGTGAGGTAATTGTGGGAAGCAAGCCAGCAGTCTCCTCCTGCCAGGCTGAGTGGCAGTGGATGTTTTTTCTTTCCATGGGGAGCACAGGCACAGCATTGGACAAGCTAAAGAAGCAGGTTTAGCCTGCACAAGTCTGGCATTGCCTCACCCTTAGGTTGCATATTTCCTGAGACAGCAGCTCTGCAGTGACTTAGCTTCGTCCCAGTGCCCTGAGGATAACAGCAGAGTGCTGTCAGTGAAGGGAGCACCTTGCTGTAGAGTCCTGCAGGTGCCGCTGTGCAGATAGCTGCTGCAGGAGAGCTGGGCCTGGCATAGTCGATCTGTCTGAACTTGTGCACGATTACAGCAGGGCTTCAGCACTTTGACTTTCTTACTGCGTGGGAGTGCTGTGGGCAGCTCCAGTGTTCAGCACCAGTATCTTGAAAGGCTGCAGGTGTAACACCAGCAAGGACACACACTTCACTGAGCAAATTGCAAAATGCTTATAGCGCAAACTCCCCTTCAGTCTTGCACATTCTGTGCACAGGTCAGTCCCCTTGTCTCTTCCTCAACAGGACTGCAAGTACAGGAGGGCCTTGTGATGGCTAGGGCACCTGTTCTCTTTACCTGTCAGGAGAAGTGAGATGAGTTACAGTCCTTCATCACCTCAGCGTCTAGTTTGTGTTTAATTTTGTAGCCTTCAGTTTTGCACAGGAGGAAGAGGAGGGCAGGGAAGTACCTCTCTTTCTGTGTAGCTCAGGTTCCTGTGGGCAGAGAGGTCACCGTACTGGGACAGAATGGCTGCAACTTGAGGTGACCAAGGTCTGGGGCTCAGAGGCCCAGTGGGAAGAGGAAGGTGCTGTGGCCTATCAGAGGCTGCACCCAGAACATGGCAGCGAGTCCGTGAATAGGTCAAGGGGAGCAGTGCAGTGAGCCAACCTGTGCAAGCGAGACTGACCTGCCCTCTGTCAGTATCACGAAGGCAGCTGCCATTGCACAGAAGTAGCTCGTTGGTGGCATGCTGCTCTGAGCCTGGTGCTCAGCAGCTGATGGCTTCTAGTGGCGGACACTGTCAGGTTCTCCCTCTGTTTAGGAAGGGGCCTTCATAAAGGCTTGGGTTAGGGTCTAAGGGTGTCACTGTTCCTCCTGTCCCTTTTTGTATACAGCTGTGATGCTGGACAATTTGGGCATCCTGGCCTTGCCTGACAAGGGAGAAGGCTGTCAGCAGGATAGTAGTACCCACAGGGCTGTCCTTTTTTTGTGGGGGGCGGGGTGTTGAGTCGGGGCATCTGCCCCGGGCCGTGCGCTTTGGGGGGCCCTGCTGAGCTGAGCGGAGCAGCCACAGTGACTCCATGCTGCCGCAACCAGCTTCGCATCTGGCCACTTGGCACCCCCACCCCTGCATCTGCTGCTGGCTTCCTTGCATCCAGGGGTGGGCCCCATTGATTTTCCCCGGGCCCCCACCCTGCTCAGGTCATCTCTGAGCTGAGCACAGGTGTTGGGTACTATTTGTGCTGTTCACATGAGGTGACAGACCTAGGGTGGGTTGTGTTGGATTCAGTCCTTCAGGGTCCAGTGTGAACGGTGCTCCCCAGGAGAGGATCAGCCTTGGTGGTGTGTCTTGGGGCTACTCTGCTGCCACAGGCACCTGACCCTTTCACACTACATGTGTTGGCATAAGTGCCACACCCTGGAGCACAGCTGAAGTGGATGGGACTAGGGCTTGCTCCCAGGCATCTCTCCAGAGCTGTCGCCTCTCTGCCACTCTTGCCCAGCAGAGGGCACCCTCCTCTCTGCATGCCTGATGCCTGGCCAAGGCAGTTGTCCCACTGTCCTGGGAGCCATGGGACGCAAGCCCAGAAACTAATCATTTCCATGTCTCATCAGTCACCAAAGCGAGCAGGGGGAAAGGTTGGAGGGCTTTACCCTAACACAGACAACAGAACCATGGGGGAGTAGGGCCATAGGAGATCTCTGCAGGCCAGTTTCCTGCCTGAGGCAGGATCATCCCTGTCCAAACCAGCTCTTGCAAACCCTTGTCTAAGCTATTGCTAAAGCTACGCAGTCAACCGTGTCGCACGGCCACAAAGACACCAAGAGCATCTGGTCCTGCCACCAGTAAAGCAGGGGACAATGGCAGCCAGTGTTTAAGGTGGTTAAAATATATGTGAGAGATTCCACTATGGAGGAAGGCAAGGCCCCCCCACCCCAGTCCATATTAGTCTGTGCACAGGGGAGAATTCCTTCCTGACCCCAAATACAGCAGTCAGTCTGACCCTGAGTGGAGAGGCAAGATCCTCTGGGTTTGAGTCCCTGCAGGAGCACCAGCACACCCAGATTTTCACCTCTTCATATTTGCGTTGGTTAGCTTGTTTTTTCTTTAGGAATGGATGAATTGCAAACCTGGGCTGCAAGTTTATAAGGCTGGCTTAAAACACATGCCTAGAATGACAGGTTGTGCAGATGGACCAACCAGTTTCTACAGCCCCTGCTTGGAGTGACAGTGCAGGTGTTCTTGGGGCCAGGGAAGTGAGCTTGCATGATCACGACACCAGAACACACATGACAGCAGTGTTGTGCTCTGTGCAGGCTCATATGTATGGTGGCCACAGCAGCAGGAGAGGGCATGGTGCTACATGACTTGCAAAGACAAAAAATGCCTTTGCGCCAGTGTTCAGCACCAACAAGCAAGCAAATAGAACAGCTGTACTTTTTTTCTGGCTTGGTAGTAAGTGTCTTGGAGCAAATGTAACTGCGGTGACTCTCTTTCACAGGCTCAAACTGTTCAGGTAGCAGAAGTGGAGCCGCAGCCACAGCCTCAGCCTTCACCTGAACTCCTGCTTCCAAACTCTCTGAAGCCAGAAGAAGGGCTGGAAGTGTGGAAGAACTGGGCACAGACCAAGAATGCAGAGCTGGAGAAGGAAGCCCAGAACAGGCTAGCTCCCATCGGCAGTAAGTGTCGTGGCCTCACACACATCAGTCTCATCTTTCTTTCACCACTAGAATGTTATCCATGGGGAGATTTGTAGCAGGTGAAAAGAGCTAACGGGGTTGAAACTCATGTAGCTCTCTGACTCTCCTGATCTTGCCTTAGTGTTTTCAGCTCCCCTGAGACTGTTTTTTTTATGTTTTGTTTTGTTTATTTAAGGACTGTTTTCCAGTTCAGTGTAACCACCCACAGTGTTCCCTCCTGTCCTCCTTGCCTCCTTGAAGGTGAAGGCAGTTTGAGATCTCAAGCCACATTTGTTAATAATGATTTATATTCCTTGGCAGTTGCATCCTGGAACATTCCAAGGATTATCTGAATTCCAGCCTGAGACAGCTAGCCTGAGCTAGCTCAATGAGTGCAAAGAGGCTGTATAGAGCTGTGGTAGATGGGTGCCAGTTACTGGAACACAATAGCCTCATGTTCTGATTGAATCCTAAAGAGTTAGCAAGCACTGTTCCATAGTTGCCCTCACTGCTGCCCAAGGCCTCAGTGTAGATCCTAGAAGCAGGAGCTGTTGTCAGTTTCCTCCATCCCCCGTTTCCCTCTGAGCAGATGTACAAGTGCTTAATGCTTCCATCACCTCAACTGTTGCATGTGCTGGGGCTGTGCTGGGAAGGGGAGATGGGCCAGTTGGAAGGATGGCAGGTCATGCTGTGAGGTGTCTTTGACGCTGTCGTTGTTGTGCTTTGTGTGCAGGGCGCCAGCTGCTGAGATTCCAGGAAGATCTCATCTCCTCGGCTGTGGCTGAGCTGAATTACGGGCTCTGCTTAATGACCCGAGAGGCTCGCAACGGAGATGGCGAGCCCTACGACCCAGATGTGCTTTACTACATCTTCCTGTGCATTCAGAAGGTAGGGGGTGTCTCACTGCACATCCTGTGCACAGTGGAACCGTGTACACTGGTCAGTGCTTGTGCGCTGGCAGCTCTGCATCAGACCAAGGAAATGGGCCGCTGCCTTGAATATCACACTCCCCAGGTTTAGATTTCATAGACTGAAATGTCTCAGAAAACTCAGGCAGATGCTTCTGGGTGATTTTTCCATACCTGCTATTTAGGTTCTTTTTATGATCAAAGGCTTCCATAATGAGTGTCCTTTTTTAAATCCTAGTGAGGGGGGCTGGGGAAGAATAGTAATAATTGTAAATGAATAATGTGGTGAAAATTATATGTCAAGTCTTTCAAGCAAAATCTAAAATTTGGGGTTTAGGTTTGGACTTGCTTAAGTCGTTGGTTCACATGTGGCCTAACTGGACCTTGAAAACAAGCCTGCCTCTATTGGTGTAGGGAACAGTGACTGTTTGCAGCAGTAGTGTGTTTTCTGACAGAGCTACAGGAGCAGTGAGGCATAATGCCTATGAGGTGCTTCCTC